TGTTTCTTCATCAGGTTTGTAGAAATGTAGCACTGCATCAGTGTCTCAGCAATGGATGCTCTGCAGTGAATGGGTGCCGTCAGAATGAGAGTCCAAACAGCTGATAAAAACATCACAATAATCCACAGCACTCCAGTCCATCAGTTAACATCTGGAGAAGACACAAGCTGAAACTAATCCAGCAATAAATACAAATCCATAATCCATAATAAACATATGCATAAAAACATATTTTGCCCAGAAGCAGCAGTTGATGGACTGAAGTGGTGTGGCTGCATTTCTGCAAATCTGATGAAGAAACAAATTCATGGCCTGAGGATGAGTACATTTACAGAAAATGTTCTTTTTTTGTGAACTTTTCCTTCAAGGCAAAAACAAGTTTGAGATTTTGGGCTTTTTAGTTTTTCATAAAGTGTTTTTTTCAGACTAGTGGAAAGAAAACATCTAAAAGGCACTGTTAAGTGTTTCTTTCATAGCACTTTATCTATTTGTGTCAATAGATTTCAAATACAATACATATTTTTAAAGGCCATTTTCTCAAAATGATTTTTTTCTCCTACACTGAGCCATAAATCTCCACTTCAGCAGCACTTACACACACCAAACTTTACATTCCTGTCTGTACCCTGAAGGCTTTTACTGAGGGATTTGTTCATATATAATTTGCTTGATTATATACAAAATTGTATATACAATGGTTGTGTTTTATTTTTGTCTGAAGGGTCTGCCGGGGCCGCCGGGGCCTCCAGGACGAGCGGGGCCCTTCAGCTGTCCTAAAGGAGTGAGTGTGTGTCTGTCTCTGTCTCAAACACACAGAACACACAGAGTGCTGTTGCTCAGTGTCTCTTTCCCTCTTGTTTCTCTAGACCGTGTTTCCAGTCCCTCCTCGACCCGGCTGCAAAAAACCTGTGAGTGTCTACTGCTCAATATCTTCATCCTCATCTTCATCATTGTTGTCTTTACACTCACTCTAACTCTGCTCAAAAATTATTTCTCCAAATTTGGGCTGATTTGTCATAATTAGAGGGTATAGGGTATGCATAACTTTTTAACGTGAAAAATGCACACTTCCCCTTTAACCCATCAAGTGTAATGCACATTGCATTTTACACGAACTTAATGGATGTCACGTGGCAAATATGTGATTTCATACATCATTATCTTTATTTGATCAAGTTCCCTTTATCTGTGGCTGAGGTCCTTCAGGTGGAGATGACTGAATGTTGGCCTGTTGTCGTATTTGAGATGCGTTTATGGACTGATACGGCTTATAAACAGTACATGTATAGTTTTTATGTATGGTGTATCTCTCAGCTGTATGTTGAGACCCACGGAGAGTCAAAGACTGACTTTTAGAGTCAGTGATTTCATAGTAAACACACGTTATGTTTGAATAGTGATGCATGCTGTGGATAAATGTCTAAAACAAGCGCATCATGCACCTGTGAGCTCAGATGTGTGAATGTTTATCACTCTGTAATAAAACATATGAAGGCTGCAGAGCTGTGCATATCCCAGCATTCAGTGCGCATGGTCCATAATCCACGCAGGCATCTTTACGGCGCTCATTTCTGCATGCTGCATGTCATACGGACGGAGGAATGATCTGATGATGGTGCTTCATGCTTCTCCTGCATCTCTGCTGTGATGTTTGCTTTCCTTCTTGTATTTGTACAGTCCTCTATTTTATTCCTGAAAGGAAGAGTTTTAGATGTTGTGCAATAGCTACACAAATCATCTCATGAAGAACACAGCTCGTTTTTCATCAGAACACGACTGACTCTTCCATATTCATCCAGCGTTTGTTTCCACATCCAGATGTTGAATTAACACTACTTTCTCACCAGTTATATTAACTAACACGTGTCTTTCTTTGCTTTTCTTCAGGTTAACAGTGATTCTACACAAGGTGAGTTTTAAGAGTTGTTTTCTTATTATCATACACTACTGTTTAAAAGGTAATATACGAAATTAAGACTTTTATTGATCAAGGATGCATTAAATTGATCAAAAGTGTCAGTAAAGACATTTATGATGTTACAAATGATTTCTATTTCAAATAAATGCTGTTCTTCTGAACTTTCTGTTCATCTGTGAATCCTGAAAAATTAAATGCATCACAGTTTCCACAAAAATATTGTGCAGCACGACTGTGTTCAACATTGATAATAATCAGAAATGTTTCTCGAGCAGCAGATCAGCATATTATACTGATTTCTGAAGATCATGTGACACTGAAGACTGCAGTAATGATGCTGAAAATACAGCTGCGCATCACAGACATACATTACAGTTTAACAGAGATTCACACAGAAAACAGCTGTTTTAAATCATAATAATATTTCACTATTTTTACAGTATTTGTGATCAAATAAATGCGGCCTTGGTGAGCAGAAGAAACTTCATTAAAAACTTTAACCCCAAAGTATTGAATGGCAGTGTTTTTTGGCAGTACAGAATAATTTGTTTAAACACATTCACATTAGAATCATTTCAGATTATATTTTGTCAGTGTTCAATGACTTTGTCTTTTTAATGATTACTCCTCTATTTTGCCCTTTTGTTTTGTCATAAGTAAATGCAAAGTGTATGCTTTCTGCAGTCTGCAGTTTTCAAAAATAATAACAATAATTTTCATTTTTCAAATGTCATATTTCAGGTGTTATGTATTTCAAACAGTTTTAGTCAGTGTTGTGTGTTTGCTGGTGTGTCTGATGGTTTGTGTTGATTGTGTGCTCCTGTCCTGTAGAGGGAGCCAGCAGGGACAGAGATCTGCCTTCATCCTCCTCCTCCTCCTCCTCCTCCGGTACACACCTGACAATCACATCACAGCATTAAGAGTTCACTCAAGCAGCTGTCCTTCTGTGTTTCTGATGCTCTGATCTGTTCTCTCACAGGCGACACACTGGGAACCAAAGTCACGGTGAGTTTGGTCTCAGACAATCTCTCACAGACACTGAGAGCGCTTCGCTGCGAGACAATGATTGAGTAGAGACTGAGCTGTTGAATGTGTGACTGTGTCAGACGTGTCAGACTGCTAAAGGTGACGAGGGATTCAGAGGAGAGACGGGAGAAGCTGGGATGCCAGGGAGATCCGGTTCAACGGTGAGTGACACACACACACACACACTCACTCACTCACACACTCACTCACTCACTCTCACTCACTCACTCACTCACCCACACTCACTCACTCACTCTCACTCACTCACTCACTCACCCACACTCACTCACTCACTCTCACTCACTCACTCACTCACCCACACTCACTCACTCACTCTCACTCACTCACTCACTCACCCACACTCACTCACTCACTCTCACTCACTCACTCACTCACCCACACTCACTCACTCACTCTCACTCACTCACTCACTCACCCACACTCACTCACTCACTCTCACTCACTCACTCACTCACCCACACTCACTCACTCACTCTCACTCACTCACTCACTCACCCACACTCACTCACTCACTCTCACTCACTCACTCACTCACCCACACTCACTCACTCACTCTCACTCACTCACTCACTCACCCACACTCACTCACTCACTCTCACTCACTCACTCACTCACCCACACTCACTCACTCACTCTCACTCACTCACTCACTCACCCACACTCACTCACTCACTCTCACTCACTCACTCACTCACCCACACTCACTCACTCACTCTCACTCACTCACTCACTCACCCACACTCACTCACTCACTCTCACTCACTCACTCACTCACCCACACTCACTCACTCACTCTCACTCACTCACTCACTCACCCACACTCACTCACTCACTCTCACTCACTCACTCACTCACCCACACTCACTCACTCACTCTCACTCACTCACTCACTCACCCACACTCACTCACTCACTCTCACTCACTCACTCACTCACCCACACTCACTCACTCACTCTCACTCACTCACTCACTCACCCACACTCACTCACTCACTCTCACTCACTCACTCACTCACCCACACTCACTCACTCACTCTCACTCACTCACTCACTCACCCACACTCACTCACTCACTCTCACTCACTCACTCACTCACCCACACTCACTCACTCACTCTCACTCACTCACTCACTCACCCACACTCACTCACTCACTCTCACTCACTCACTCACTCACCCACACTCACTCACTCACTCTCACTCACTCACTCACTCACCCACACTCACTCACTCACTCTCACTCACTCACTCACTCACCCACACTCACTCACTCACTCTCACTCACTCACTCACTCACCCACACTCACTCACTCACTCTCACTCACTCACTCACTCACCCACACTCACTCACTCACTCTCACTCACTCACTCACTCACCCACACTCACTCACTCACTCTCACTCACTCACTCACTCACCCACACTCACTCACTCACTCTCACTCACTCACTCACTCACCCACACTCACTCACTCACTCTCACTCACTCACTCACTCACCCACACTCACTCACTCACTCTCACTCACTCACTCACTCACCCACACTCACTCACTCACTCTCACTCACTCACTCACTCACCCACACTCACTCACTCACTCTCACTCACTCACTCACTCACCCACACTCACTCACTCACTCTCACTCACTCACTCACTCACCCACACTCACTCACTCACTCTCACTCACTCACTCACTCACCCACACTCACTCACTCACTCTCACTCACTCACTCACTCACCCACACTCACTCACTCACTCTCACTCACTCACTCACTCACCCACACTCACTCACTCACTCTCACTCACTCACTCACTCACCCACACTCACTCACTCACTCTCACTCACTCACTCACTCACCCACACTCACTCACTCACTCTCACTCACTCACTCACTCACCCACACTCACTCACTCACTCTCACTCACTCACTCACTCACCCACACTCACTCACTCACTCTCACTCACTCACTCACTCACCCACACTCACTCACTCACTCTCACTCACTCACTCACTCACCCACACTCACTCACTCACTCTCACTCACTCACTCACTCACCCACACTCACTCACTCACTCTCACTCACTCACTCACTCACACACACAGACACACACACACACACACACTCACTCACTCTCACTCACTCACACAAGCACACACAAACACACACTCACTCACTCACTCACTCACTCACACACTATTGTGGTAACTATTAGCAACATAATTGAAAGGCTGCTTTACCTACAACGGTACCCTAAAACCTAAATAGCTATTGTATAATGCTATTGGTTAGTATTTTTGCTAACCACATGGCCTAACTGACATCAGCAGAAAAAGGGAATTATTTTCACATTACGAGGACAAACTATTTTTCTTTAAAGCATGCACTGACAAACTGAGTACAAAAACACCAGGAACACTCAAAAGTATGGGGTCGGTAGGATTGATTTGAAAAGAATGCTAATTATAAGAAATGTTACTTGAGCATGTTATTTCATGTTGGCTTTAAGAAATAAATACTCACACATCTGCTAAATAACTAATTAAACTAACAATACAACAAGAGTTCTTCAGTGGAGATTAAATGAAGCCCTCGTCGTGAAGTCTGGCTTGAGATTTAGTCAAGATCTGTCACTTGTAAGCAAACACACACAACCTAAAGGCCAGTGGGTGCCAAACCTAATGACAAACATTCTACAGTTACTAAGAAACCCGGCAGCAGTCAGTGACTCGAATTACCATTACTATAATCTATGCACAGTGTGAGAGAGAAAGAGTTGAGACCATATGTTCATGACTTCATGTCTGAATACGTAACAAGAGTGGTATATTGTTGAGGCTCACAGAAGTGTGTCCATCTATCTGTACAGTATATGCACAGAATGTGTTTGTGTTCCCTGGGCATTTCCGCTCCCAGCAGTGTCCTCATTAGTAAAGACTTGCCTTGGCACATTTGCATGAACACAAGAAAGCAACTGAGATTATATGGCATGACTACGGGAGTCATGACAATATGAGTGCATATGACAACAAAAGGTGCTGCTGTTTACAAGCATGCAAGTTCACTTAGGAAAAGCTAAAGAGGAAAGAACGTTTAAATGTAAGCATAGAGAAACAAAATTAATCCAATGGGAAAGTTTACATGCACATGTGATATATTTTTGAGCTGGGCTAACTCATAAGAGCATTACCTTTCAAAACCTACATTATTTTATAAATTCTGCTTTATATAAAGACATTTCAATATTAATACAGTATTTAAAGCAAATAAATCATCTCCTTAAAAATGAAAAAATTGCCATTTAGTAACCCTCGTGCGGTTCCAAACATGCTTTACTTTATTTCTTCCATGGTAGGAAATTTGTGCTTGCTCTTTTCCATGCAATGAATCCCTTATGGTGACTGAGGCTTTCCAGCTTTATTGATTGCAAAATTAGCATTATTAATATTAAAGTGGTTCTATACGTGTAGTAAAGTTCAATTTTCGACTATTCCTCACACAAAGCTATAATATGGCTTTAGATGACTTGCAATATAGCACACAAGTTGTACTGTATGCATGAGTATGCACCATTTTTTGTAAGTTCCCAGTCGTTGTAACTGTATGGAAAAATTAACCAGTGCAATTCTTTATAATTTCTGTCTTTGTGTTCCACAGAAATAAAGTCCAACAGTTTTCTGACACAAGTGCAAAGTAAATAATGACATTTTTAGGTGACTGACCCCTATAGAATTATACATTAAATTAAGGTGGGGGTTTCAAAAGCCATTTGTAAACCATTTTATTAAAGTATTTGTCTCTGAGCCTCCAGTGGGCAATTGATGTTGAAAAGACATGAAATTGACATCAAAATTGACGTCAAAAAACAGGTCGAATATGTAAATCAAACTGACGTCGAAAACTTGACATGACATTGATTTGATGTAAACTGAACATCAAACATATTGGCCTACATATACATTAAACCAATTTCAGTGTGGGATTAACTTCCTATTTTCACCTAATTACCACTGGAAGAAACTGCCAAGCCAAACTGAATTTAATATGATGTTACAGCATCTTGATCCAGTTTTGACTGGTATTTGACGTCAAATTGGTATCAATGTGCCCGCTAGGTATTGTATTGAATGTGTATTTTTGTTAGAGAGAAGGTTTTAAACTATTACAATACAACAAACCAAAATATCAAATGATGATCAGAATAATCTTTACATTTCTTTATTGTTTTTTCATGATCATGACTTATGTACCACCATCTCAGAGGATCAAATGTCCCTCCACTGCCAACAAAGGATGAAGATTGATTGGGATTTAAAACAAACATACTGAGATTCATCATAATTATTGACAACACTCTCAGTAAATTACATGTGAATCTGTACAATGCTTTAGTCCGAAATTAATTCATCAAGTTTTGCATTTAGAAACCATTGGAAAGTCTAACGAAACCATCGGATCATTTTGAATGAGGGTTTACAGGTTTGGAAATGGAAAACAAAATAGTTAGTTGTAGTCACAACTAACTTATCAGTGACCCACCACCACAGTTCAGTCGCCAATGGATACTATGTGATAGAATAAGCTATAATGGAGAGATATGCAGGTGATTTGATCTGTTGGCAAAATGGTTCACTGATCACATGAAAGAATGAATGGAATGGCAGTACCTCCAGATGACTCTCTGGGGAAGACGGCTCAAGGCTCCTGCAAGTTTCCGAGCAATGTCATCTGACAGATACTTGACTCCTGCTCCAAACGACACCACTACGAAACCATGTTCATCTGTATCCTTCACCCAGGCTTCAAACTCCTGTACACACACACAGATCAAATACACAGTTCAACAATCTATGAAATTTGTGCTGACTATATTCACAAGACAAAGCAATTCAACGTTATATGGAAATCAAAATTAGCATCTAAATAAAATGGCTCTGTCTGATTATAATATGATTTCATTTGAATACATCAATTTAAAAGTAAAAAGGGACTAGAAATATCTCCAGAAAATAACTGCTGCACATAAATACCACTGTATATGAATCTGGTAATTATTCAGTACCATAGTACGCATCAAAGTATTACCATCTGATAGTAAGCACTTTGAACAGAAGAGAACAGAAAGTTTGTTAAACACTTGATTTATGAGACCGTGCTTTTGTAAGCATGCAATAAAATGGCTGAAGAATGCAACTTATTATCGGAGTATCAGTGTTCACCAGCACATTGCAACATAGTTTGACTTAAAGGGACATTACATACATCTTTTAATTTCCAAACAAGTGAAAACATGCGTTTCATAATATTAAATGGTTTTAAGGTGTGGACATTTCTCAAGCTACTTTACCTTTGACAGAGACACACTGCATGTTTAGAAATCCCTCAACCTGAAAAGAAATCATGATCAAGATTTCTCGAAAACCTTTTACCTATTATGTCAACCATATGCCATTTTCAGTGGTAAGTGCTATGCCACCACAATGGGAAATTAAATAAATGTAATGTACAAATGTACAAGTGTCTTTTTTTAGAGCTGTGTAAATTAGACTTTGACCAGGTGTGTCAAACACATTTTAGATCAAGGGCCAGACTGGACAAAACCTCAGGTTGTGTGGGTTGATTTTTTTTTTTTAATGTATTAAACCTTGGTACATCCATGGAGAGCAATCTGGAGCATATAGAGCGCAGAATCCCTTTATCCTGCTTTAATTACCAATATTGGGGTAATTCAAAAAGGAAGATTACTTAGATTACATACTGTACACGTGTAGTTAATATGCGCATTCAAAAATTGCATAATATTAACCGAACAAAAATACTGACAAGAAAAAGAAAAGCCTTCATTGCTCTTGGCTGGATTTCGTATTAAAAGATAACCTTAGCTTTAATAAGCCACCTAAAGCAGAACAATAACACAAAGTTAAATATAAAAGGAGAAACTGTATGACTACTATTAAACTCCAAAATGGGAAAATGAACTAGACTGCTCTGGGACAGTTGTGACAGCCAAATATATTTAGTTATTTTGATCAGATAATTCTATGATGAAGCAACAGCAAGTCATTTGAGTGTATGAAAATATTCTGTCATCACATTCAACACTTCTCCAACTTCTGGTAAATAAAAAATCTGATGAATGCTTATTCATCTTGCTCATTCAGTTATGATAGTAATGACGCATGATGATGATTTTTGGTTTAACTTTGGAATAATATTTAAATAAATTTTACAAACTAAAAGCTTGAATAACCTATGAAGACTACAGTATATTTTTATTTACATACACAGCAACAAACACACAGTTTTATTATTATAGCCATAGCAATTTTTATATCTAATTATAGCCATACAATTCAAATATTACATATGAATATTTACTGAGATTGTGTACAGATGTTTTCAGTCTTTTAACTTTGAGGACCTAATGACGACAATGTCGGTAACCCAGTAACTCTCACACAATATGTGCAAATTACCAGAAAAGGGACATAATGATACTATCTGTAAAAAACTGTTTACATGGAGTAAACATTGGCAACACATAACCAGAAGTTCATCCACCTAGAAAAGCATTCCTACAAAAAAGGGTTATTTAGACAAATTTACAGCTCAAATTATGAACCTAAATTATTATACCGTAATACAAGTAATAAGTGCTAAACCAAAAACATGAGCTTGACATTTTAACTTTTTAATTAGTTTTAAATCATTGGTTCATATTTTTTAGATTTAGCTTTTGATTGTTATATTATAACATTGCTTACATCAGTAATAAGGGAGACATACAAAATGTGTAGGGCAGGGGGTCCTCCAGGACAGGTTTGGGAACCACTGGCTTACATATTCAAAAAAATGTCAAATAAAATTCTAAGATGAGTATGGCTTTGTGTTAGCATTTAGTGCATTATTAGCACTGTAGTGCAATTGTTAGCACACAAAAAAATGAATGGTGCTAATTAGACTTAGAGCCTTTAGCCTTTTGTGTTAGCAGTTAGCATAGCTTCAGATTGAGCAGGTTTTTGTCTAAGACCTGCTTTTTCGCTGTTTGAGGGAGTCCAGCTGCAGCTGAACAGCCTGCATTGGCCTGGCACTGACTGTCCGCTCCTCACACTGGTCTCAGTGTCCTTCATACACACCCGACAATTGGCACATTTACACACATAAACACACACTCACACACACACACACACACTTACTCACTCACTCACACACACTCACTCACTCACTCACTCACTCACTCACTCACTCACTCACTCACTCACTCACTCACTCACTCACTCACTCACTCACTCACTCACTCACTCACTCACTCACTCACTCACACACACACACACACACTTACTCACTCACTCACTCACTCACACACACACATATTTAAGTATGTTGATAATTTTTATTAATGGATGAACTGTTCCTTTAATTTGATCAGTTCTGGTGTTTTTCAGAAACAGTCCAGATGGACAGCTTCCAGTGCAATGCTGACACACACACACTTACTCACTCACTCACTCACTCACACACACACATATTTAAGTATGTTGATAATTTTTATTAATGGATGAACTGTTCCTTTAATTTGATCAGTTCTGGTGTTTTTCAGAAACAGTCCAGATGGACAGCTTCCAGTGCAATGCTGTGAAATGTCTAATAATGTTGTTTTGTGAGCAGGGAGCTAAAGGAGAATCTATCATTGGACCCCCTGGTCATCCAGGACCTCGAGGACCCCCTGGTGCACCAGGTTTCGGGAGAACCGGTGTTGCTGGACGACCAGGACCTCCCGGACCTCCTGGACAACACGGATCCGGTACGAAAAACCTATGACATTTCAAAAGTCTTGCATTTTCCCTCATCTTCAGCCCAGTCCATGTCACTGAAGGTCAGGAGGTTCACTGTTTGTTTGTGTGAAGTGGATGTGCTGTTGATGTAAGGTTACGAGGGCCTTCAGAACCACTCCCCATAGCTCTTCGTCTGACCGTGATGAAGGCAAACACTTCTGCTGCTATCACACACTGATATGCACAGACGCTCAGAGTTCATTTTGTTTCAGGCGTGATGATCCCTGGCCCTCCTGGACCCCCTGGGCGCCCGGGACGAGCCACTGAGGCCTCCAGCACCGTGAGTCAAAACACAAAACACACTCAGTCATTTGCTCGAGTGTCCTAACGCAAACACTGAGATCCTGAGATGAGCACAGCGGTAAATCAGCTCAGTTTTCACAACACAGTCATATTTCTTCTAGGATTTCCCGAGATGCTCGTATCAAACAGGCCGAAGCTCGTGCTCCGTTTCATTCAGAAAGATGCAAACCCAGCTTTACTCTCATCATGCATTCAGGTCCATTCTGACCTGGAAGAGATGCATCATTTCTAAAAATGCATAGTTTTTAGTAAGGGAATAAAACTTTGCAAATGCTTTAAGACCCTCCAAATACACATCATTCATTCATCATGAATTCATTTATGTATTATTCATTTATTGTTCATTTATTCTGAATAAAGTTTAAATACATTTCAGAATAAAGACTACAAATATTTTTAAGAGGTATAACCATTGAAAAAAATCTTATCACTTTTACAATCTGAATGTGAAAGTTTATGGAAGTAAAATAAAAAAATGTTGTGTGTAAAATTTATTTTGAGAGTAATATCTATGTTGTTTTGTTAGAAATAAATATGGAGGTTTTATAAATGTGGACCGTTTTTGAATAATCATGAGGTATTAATTTATTAATCATGATAATATTATTTAAGAGGTATTATATGACCCCTTTAAGTTATGAAAGTTTTATAAAATAATGATTTTTTGGCTCCAAACGAACCTGGAATATGAAAACATAAGACACGATTACAGTTAACGCTGTTCATCAGATCTCCACATCCAGTCATAAACTGTCAGGAGGATGAAAGGTTATATGGAAAGAGCAGCATAAGCGTCTAAACATGTTATATATCATTTTGTGTTCCATGGATGAAAGAAACGCGTGACAGAAGTGCTATGTTTTTATTTCCCTGTATTAAATGGCATGTTGTTTTCCTGCAGGTCGGGAAGTATGTGAGTCTGCAGGCCATGAGACAGCAGTCGTCTGTGCTCGAGGACGGGACGCTGTCTTTCCTTATTGACACCAGTAAACTCTATATGAAGGTTCCAGGAGGCTGGAGAGAGGTTCAGGTAACTCCCCAAATGAGATCAGTCCTCATACTCTTCATATTTCACAGCTAGAGGTTTTAATGAGGTGTTTGTTCCGCAGCTCGGCGGGCTGATTGAGATGTATTCGTCCCCCGTCCTCTCACAGGATGATGTAAGGACTGCATTTTTACATCTTATTCAACACATTATATTGGACACAAAACTGTCTTAATATGGAAAACATGAGCGTTTGAAGTCTGGCAGCACTCATTTAAAGCGTGACTGCTTGTGTTTCTGTGTTGCCTGCAGGCTGAGCCCCTGATCCTGAGCCCACAGCTCCGTCACACACCCAGAACACACACCGGAAGCGCGGTGAGCCTGTGTGTGTGTGTGTCTCTGTGTGTGTGTGTGTGTGTGTGTGTGTGTCTGTCTGTGTGTGTGTGTGTGTCTGTCTGTGTGTGTGTGTGTGTGTGTGTGTCTGTCTGTGTGTGTGTGTGTGTGTGTCTGTCTGTGTGTGTGTGTGTGTGTGTGTGTGTGTGTGTGAGTGTCTGTCTGTGTGTGACTGTGAATCTTACTGAAAATGGCAGATTAAGCAGTTTATATTCTAAATTCTAGGGCTGTCAGTAGATAAAAATTTTTTATCTAATTAATTACATGATGTTTCGAATAATTAATTGCAAAATAAATTTGACTGAAAATACCCACAAAAGATAATTTAAAGCTATTTTTGTGTTAAATGAGAAAGTATCAAGTAGACATTACAAATTGTAGCTTTAGAAAGATATATTTTATTTGATTCAACATAAAATGTATTACACAAACATTTAGGCTACAACAGCTTAACATAAACTATGCAACATAAAATAAGATAATTTGAGAAACGTATTATATTTTTTATTCATAAATAGCATTGTTATCAACAGTCGTCAAAATACCTTCTTCTTTGTTCCACAAAAGAAAGGTTTGAAAGGACATGAGGGCGAGTAAATGATGACAGAATTTACATTTTTGGGGTGAACTATCCCTTTAATGTTTTTATTTTTATTATTATTATTAGTTTTTTTAATGAAATGATACTCTAAATAAGAAACTAAATCTTCCAGCATAAATGTCTTTGAGTCATTCATTCATTTGATTCGTTCAAACAGCTGATTCGTTCAGGAATGAAGTAAACGGCTCTGTTTATGAACGGACTTTGAATCATTGATTCACACGATTCGTTCAAAAGGCGGATTCATTCAGAAACTCGCAGACACACAACAAGTCTGCTATGACTTTAAAGATAATATGTTCCCTGTAAAATTGAGCAAAAACACATAATATTGTGTTTAAAATAAAACACAATATCAACTTCTTATTTACTGAACTGTTGTATAAAATCACATTTAAACTGGTGTATTACTGCTCTCACTGCTCCTGTGATATCGTATGATATAAACATGAGACAGAAACTCATACAGGGGCATGTTTGCACCTCTATCTTGAATTTCGCCTAGAGAGAGAAGGAGAAACAGATGATGTGTCTTGGGTTTTCTCTAGTCTGTGTTTAAATGAAGGCTGGACAATATACTGAATATTCACAACACTCATATTTACAGTCATTATTTTGGAAGTATAAACAGCATTATTATCACTCAAGTGTTCACGAAAGACCTGTGGCACTTTTAGAATGTACTCCAGCATTCAGTAGTTTGGGGTCGGTAAGATATTTCAGTGTTTCTGAAAGAAGTCTCTTCTGTTCCTCAAGGCTGCATTTATTTGATCAAAATTACACTAAAAACAGTAATATTATGAAATATTTTGACAATTTAAAAATAGCTGTTTTCTATGTGAATATATGTTCAAATGTAATTTATTGTTGTGATCTTAGTCTTCAGTGTCACAATCCTTTAGAGATCATTATAAATGTCTTTACTGTTACTTTTGATCAACTTAATGCATCCTTATTCATTAAAAACAATCTTCCTGACCCCAAACTTTTGAGCAGTAGTGTATTATTATATATAAAATATATTAACATATTTTAGTAAATATATACAGAAATAGTTCATTTATATACAGTTTCCCCAAAAAGTATTTTTTTAATAATAACTATTTATTTATAATCGTTTTTGGACACTTTGGGTACAATTTCAAATACAGTATATAAATGCGTATACACTTTATACACAATATTAAATATAATGTATATAATGTGTGTGTGTATATGAGAAGTATTAAATATACTGCAAAATGTTCAGGGAACCCTCTCATTTGAAACATTACTATATTAGAGGTTATAATTAACAGCAGAGCCCAAACTACTGTTTATGTTCACATATAATAACCACACGCAAATAAAAACTGAAACGTTTGTAACTCAACAGCACATAAGGTGGTTTCCATAAAAACTGCTCTTCATATCAGATTTATTCAAACATAGTTATAAAGCTAACAGTAAATAAGTTCATGTCTAGTGTTTTCTCTAGCGCACTAACCAGCTGTGAGCCCTGCATGACTTTCCGGAGGTAGATGCAAAGTGATATATAGATCATAAGCGGTTTTATATGATGTCTTTCTTTAGGTTGAAACACTGATTGATTCATAGATGAGACAAGATGACAGATGCACTACGAATAACAGAAAAAACACCGATCTGGCAACCCTTAAATGAACTACGGGTGATTAATAGGGTAAAATAGAACCTGTGTTAGCACTTTTGTTTTATTTTATTATTTTCTGTGAGATTGCGTTAATGCATTGTTATTGTGTTAACTTCGACTGCCCTACATTCAACACACGAGAAATGTTCTTAGCACACACATTGCAGTGCAGATAGCTGCTTTCATTGGCTGATTCTGATTATTGGCCAGTATACCAGTGCTTCCCTTCTATACACTACACATGTGTAGCATTTGAAGTCCAGTCATTTCAGTAGGAATCCACACGACTGGGAATCTAGTGTGAGGATGAAAGATTTCCTTCCCAGATTCACAGCAGGATCAGTTCACCGCACTGAGCAACAGAGAGACTTCTGACAGTAGACAAGCACTTGCTGGCTGGCACTGAGTGAATGTAGATCTATGCGGTAGTCTCTGTGCTGACACGCGTGTGCTTCTCCTCTGTGTCTCAGCTGAGGTTGGTGGCTCTCAACACGCCGCTGACGGGAAACCTGGGCTCCATCCACTCGGTTAATAAACTGTGCAGGACTCAAGCTCAAGCCATGGGCATCAGAGACGACTACAAGGCCTTCCTCTCACACCACCTACAGGACCTGATTGACACCGTGCAGCCCATGTACCGAACAAACACGCCGATCGTCAACCTGAGGGTAAAGCGGCTTTCTGTCATTCTTACTAATAAATCACTCATGAACGCCGTGACATTTCTTTGTGAAGGAAAGTCATTTGTTTCTGGGGATTTAAGGCCTGTGCTCAGCTATAGTGAATGCTTCTCAATGTGTTTTAATTTGAATGTTGTGTGAATAGACATTTATGGCCCTACCTGGAGCACAAAACCAGCCATAAGGGTCCATTTTGTGAAATTGAGAGTTATGCATCATCTGAAAGCTGAATAAATAATCTTTCCATTGATGTATGGTTTGTTAGGATAGGACAATATTTGGAAATCTGGAATCTGAGGGTGCAAAAAAATCTAAATATTGAGAAAATCATCTTTAAAGTTGTCCAAATGAAGTTCTTAGCAATGCATATTACTAATCAAACATTAAGTTTTGATATATTTACAGTAGGAGATTTACAAAATATCTTCATGGAACATGATCTTTACTTAATATCCTAATGATTTTTGGCATAAAAGAGAAATGTATAATTGTGACCCATACAATGTATTGTTGTCTATAGCTACAAATATCCCCCAGCGACTTAACACTGCTTTTGTGCTGCAGGGTCACATTTTTTGTTTTGTTCTTGGTGCAAATAGGACTTAAAGGGATAGTTCACCCAAAATATCAAATCATTTAGTCTCCCTCATGCTGTTCCAAAGCAAACTTTTGTTGAACACGCTATGCTGTATGTTTGATTTACTGATAACTTTCCTCTCTAGTGAGCTGGAAATGCTGCTTTGACCAGGTCATTGAGTCGAGAACCAGATCTTTTCAATTTATAAACAAATCATTGTTTTGTGCAGCAGATCAAATGATTCACTGAAAACTTGAAATCATTTATTTGTTGATGAATCAGTCATCACTGCTAGTGCCATGAACTCAAGAAGAGCAAAGGAGGATGTCAAGATTTTGGTCAGTAATAACATACACTACTGTTCAAACGTTAAGAAGAAATTAACACTTTTATTGATCAAGGATACATTAAATTGATCAGAAGTGACAGTAAAGACATTTATGATGTTACAAAAGATTTCTATTTCAAATCAATGCTGTTCTTTTGAACTTTCTGAAAAATAAATTGTATCACAGTTTCCACAAAAATATTATGCAGCATAACTGAGTTCAACATTGATAATAATCAGAAATGTTTGTTGAGCAGCAGATCAGCATATTATACTGATTTCTGAAGATCATGTGACACTGAAGACTGGAGGAATGATGCTGAAAATACAGCTGCACATCACAGAAATACATTACAGTTTAACATATTCCCATAGAAAACAGCTGTTTTAAACTGTAATAATATTTCACTATTTTTACTGTATTTGTGATCAAATAAATGCAGCCTTGCTGAGCAGAAGAGACTTCTTTCAGAAACATCACAACATATCACCAAGCCCAAACTTTTGAACACTAGTGCATGTATTGATCTGCACACAAAGCTATTCAATCATACTGTTATTGTGTCTTTCAAAGCCTCAGTGTTGAGAGAAGGACGGTTGTGAGGGTTCAGAATTCTCTTTAAGAGTCTGAAGCGTCTCATATTAGTGTATGTGCTGTAATGAGAGCAGCGTGTCTGATGTGTGTGTGTGTGTGTGTGTGTGTGTCTGCAGGGTGAGCTCCTGTTCAAGAGCTGGCACAGCATCTTCTCCAGCCATCTCCTGCCTCCCAGAGTCCCGCTGTACTCCTTCGACGGCCGAGACGTGATGAGCGACCCCTTCTGGTGAGTCCTGCGTAAAACACCCCTTCAGCAGCTCCCCATCACGCTTTACAGCCTCGTTGAGTTGTGTTACGCACATTTTAGGCAAACAGTTGCACAAATGTCTGCGTTCAGTCCTGTCACCCTGCCTCATTAACTGCTCAGACGCTAGTGAAGATCTGCTCTGACCACAATCCAGACGAATCTGGCTTTCATATTTCTCCACCCGTGTCTTTTATTTTTGGTTCTGTGTGTATGTGTATTTATACTCCAGCCCGGTAAATATATCCTGGGATGAGGCCGTGACAGTGGAGCAGTAATTGTGGTCGGCTAGTAGCCGTTTTAAGCTTGTTTGTGAGGTTTGTGGATGTCTTTGGCGTTTCAGGAGAGTTTCTGTGTGAATGCAGGGAGCAGAAGAGACGTTTCACAGAGCGGCGGTGTGCCATAAAGCCTTCATACACTCTTAAAAATAAAGCTGCTTCACGATGCCATAGAAGAACCTTTTTGTCTAAATGGTTCCATAAAGAACCTTTAACATCTGAAGAACCTTTCTGTTTCACAAAAGCTTCTTTGTGGTGAAAGAAGGTTCTTCAGATTATAAAAAGCTAAGAAAGAGATGTTCTTTAAAGAACCGTTGACTGAATGCTTCTTTGTGGAACCAAAAATGGTTCTTCTATGGCATCACTTGAAGAACCTTTTAAGCAGCTTTATTTTTAAGAGTGTAACTGTTCAAAACATCCAGTTATTTACATGTTTTAAAAACTAAAACCTCACATCACTTGCATTTTATCATTGATCACTTTTATTATTATGGGAAAGCGTTCATTTTGACAGCAAATTTTGATTCAGTTTTAGTCATAGCCTTTAAAATTCAAATATTTCAGTCAACTGAATTGCTTTAGTTTTAGTCGACTGATTTAGTCAGGTTTAATGAAATTGTTTTTCATTAAGCATTTCTCTAAAACGTCCAAACTCATTATATGTTCCTGGAGAAAGCATCTATTAAGCTGTTAATATGAATGATAGTAAGGTTTGAACATGCAATGCACAGGTTTAACTGCTGTGACATAACATGTCTTCATTTATCTTAAAATGAGATCAAATTAGAAATAAGAACATGGTGCGATGCACAGATTCGATATACTGACACACATTCACATGCACTCCAGACATAATGCACTGTACATTCTATGAATAATCCACATGATCAACATCATTTTCTGTTCTGAAAATGTAAGTTTTAAAAATGTTTTTTGTTATTTTCATCAATGAAAAAATGTTAACAAAAACTATGATAAATTATTCATTAGAACTGTGGAAATGTTACTTTTAAATGTTCTTTGAGCATTCTGAAACAAAAAGATGAACGTGAACAACAAACTAAAATGTTTCAGAAAACAACATTCCAGGAACGATGTATAAATAATGGGTTTCTGCTATGGCTTTGAGAACATCATTAAACCTTTATTAGGCATTGTTAACCTTATGTTAATGTTCCTGGAAGGAGGTTTGTTGAGAAGTTTCTGATAGCGTTCTGTTGCTCTTGTTATTGTTTGGAGGGATTCAGGAGTGAAGCTTTAGTTCTTCAGCGGGTTTTATGAAGCTGAATGTCAGATGTTGTGATGATCCTGCAGCTGTAGTGTAACAAACGGTCCACTGAAGGCGAGTTGTGATGAATCCAAGTGCAGCTTTTATTCAAAGTAATCCAAACATCCAAACAAATGAAGAAAGACTTGACTTGGCATGAACAGACTTGAACAGACTTGACTTGGCATGAACAGACTTGGCACGAACAGACTTGACATGAACAGACTTGGCTTGGCATGAACAGACTTGAACAGACTTGACTTGACTTGACTTGGCACGAACAGACTTGACATGAACAGACTTGACTTGGCACGAACAGACGTGACTTGGCACGAACAGACGTGACTTGGCATGAACAGACGTGACTTGGCATGAACAGACTTGACTTGGCATGAACAGACTTGTCATGAACAGACTTGACATGAACAGACTTGACATGAACAGACTTGGCATGAACAGACTTGACTTGGCACGAACAGACTTGAACAGACTTGGCATGAACAGACTTGACATGAACAGACTTGAACAGACTTGACTTGGCACGAACAGACTTGACATGAACAGACTTGACTTGGCACGAACAGACGTGACTTGGCACGAACAGACGTGACTTGGCATGAACAGACGTGACTTGGCATGAACAGACTTGACTTGGCATGAACAGACTTGAACAGACTTGACTTGGCACAAACAGACTTGAACAGACTTAGCATGAACAGACTTGACTTGGCACGAACAGACTTGAACAGACTTGGCATGAACAGACTTGACATGAACAGACTTGAACAGACTTGACTTGGCACAAACAGACTTGAACAGACTTAGCATGAACAGACTTGACTTGGCACGAACAGACTTGACATGAACAGACTTGACTTGAACAGACTTGACATGAACAGACTTGACTTGAACAGACCAGACTTGACATGAACAGACTTGAACAGACTTGGCATGAATAGACTTGACTTGGCATGAACAGACTTGAACAGACTTGACATGAACAGACTTACTTGAACAGACTTGACATGAACAGACTTGACTTGAACAGACCAGACTTGACTTGAACAGACTTGGCATGAATAGACTTGAATTGGCATGAACAGACTTGAACAGACTTGACATGAACAGACTTGACATGAACAGACTTGACTTGAACAGACTTGACTTGGCACAAACAAACTTGAACAGACCAGACTTGACATGAACAGACTTGAACAGACTTGGCATGAATAGACTTGACTTGGCATGAACAGACTTGAACAGACTTGAATTGGCATGAACAGACTTGAACAGACTTGAATTGGCATGAACAGACTTGACTTGACATGAACAGACTTGAACAGACTTGACTCACCAACAGCAGGTTACAACATTAATACTCTACCAAGAACAAAGGCAACATAAGGGCTATTTATATCAAACAACAAGGGTCACTTGACAAGAACCAACCAATGAGAAACAGGACACATGACTAACACAACCAATGAGAACATGACACATGAATCAAAGAACCAATAGCAGGATAACATGAGGGCAAGGGAATCACATGAATAGACAGGGACCATGACCAAACTCCAAAAATAAAAGACATGAGAGCAATGAACATGAAACCCAAACCACACGTTACATGTAGATCGCTGTCTGTTTTGGTCCACAGCGTCTCATGACGGTTCATAACTATATGATGCTTTGTTGAATTGGTGGTGAATTTGTATGAATGACGAAGCATTGAGGGTCAGGTTTAGGGATGGGCCTTCATGATTACTGCTTTATTAGACAAAGCATATGTCCAATACAATTCAAACAGCAAACTTAATTGATCAAAAATACAGTAAAAACAGTGAAATATTATTCCAATGTAAAACAGCTGTTTTCTGTGTGAGTATCTGTTAAATTGTAATGTATTTCTGTGATGTGCAGCTGTATTTTCAGCATCATTCCTCCAGTCTTCAGTGTCACATGATCTTCAGAAATCAGTATAATATGCTGATCTGCTGCTCAACAAACATTTCTGATTATTATCAATGTTGAAAACAGTTGTGCTGCACAATATTTTTGTGGAGACTGTGATGCATTTTATTTTTTAGGATTCACAGATGAATAAAAAGTTCAGCAATTATTTGTTGAGCATCGAGTGCCTCGGCTCATGTGTGTGTGTGTGTGTGTGTGTGTGTGCTTCAGGCCTCAGAAGGCGGTGTGGCACGGCTCTTCAGAGAGAGGCAAGCGTCTGTCCGCTCTGAACTGTGAGTCGTGGAGAGCGGGTGACATGGCCATCACCGGTCAAGCGTCGTTCCTCTACAGCGGCTTACTGAACCAGCAAACACGCAGCTGCTCCAACCGCTTCATCGTGCTGTGCATCGAGACCAGCCACGACCATCAAACCCTCCAGGAGCGCCACAGACGATGGCACCACAGATCCTGAAGCCTGACGGAGGAGAAGCCCCGTGAACTTTAACACAGCCACCGTCGCTCTCGAATGTAAAGTGTGCTGGCCGATTCCCAGTGATGGACTGCGGAGATCCACTTTCTTTGTCATTTGGATGCACTGTACTTTTCATATTGTATTTTTGTTGTTGATTTCCCAAAAAAAAGTATTTTCGATCACGTCATTTATTTGTTTTTTTATTCTGTTTGTATTTAATTTCAGTGTTTTATTTATACAGTGACCGCACATCATTCAAAATTGAGTATGGATAAATATGTAATTTAACTGTTTGAATCAATTATGCAATTTTTTTTATTTTTTGATACTGCATCCATTTCACTGAGATTTCATTCTGTCTGGTTAAGAGATCAGATCAGCATCAAATCACATTTTTATAGATTTTTTTAAAGCAAGTCATTTGAAGCAGTGTTTGTCTATTGAATAAAACAATTTTTTTTGCCAAATTTGATCTTTAAATATTTATTATTTTCATATGTGACCCTGGACCACAAAATCAGACATAAGGGTAAATTTTTTTGAATAAATAAGCTTCCATTGATGTATGGTTTGTTAGGACCGGACAATATTTGGCTGAGATACAACTATTTGAAAATCTGGAATCTGAGGGTGCAAAAAAATCTAAATATTGAGAAAATCATCTTTAAAGTTGTTCAAATGAAGTTCTTAGCAATGCATATTACTAATCAAACATTAAGTTTTGATATATTTACAGTAGGAGATTTACAAAATATCTTCATGGAACATGATCTTTACTTAATATCCTAATGATTTTTGTCATAAAAGAGAAATGTATAATTGTGACCCATACAATGTATTGTTGGCTATTGCTACAAATATCCCCCAGCGACTCAACACTGCTTTTGTGCTGCAGGCTCACATATTGTGCTGTTTATTTAGAAAGACTGTCCTGTGGTCAAGCAGAAGGTGAATGTTGTGTGTGCTGAAGATGTGCCGTCAGTGGGAATCTGAATGGAGAGTTTGCACCCCTCTCTCTCTCTCTCTCTCTCTC